TGGTCTCCGATCTTATCCAGCACTACAATGAGAAAGAGCAGGGACTACAGCAGAAAGATACGGAAATCAAAGCTGTGGTGGGGAAAGGAGTTTGAGTGGCTTTAAAGTTGCCCACAAGGTAAGTGCAGAGAAAACGCTGTTTATAGAAAGAGTCTAGCACCATTAAAGGACCCTGCCTGCTCTACTCTGGAGCATACGTACGTTCAGGGAAAGACTTCACCAACTGAAGGCTTCAACTTCTGAAAACTCAATTCTTTTTTAAGAGAAAGAGAGAGGTGGGGGGCTAACTGAGCACACTGTCACATAATAGTAAGGTGGTTTGACTAAGAACAACCCCCAATGGCTCATAGATTTGAACGCTTAGTCACCAGGGAGTGGCACTACTTTACAAGGGTTAAAAGGGTTAGGAAGTGTGCCCTTGTTAGCAGAAGTTTGTCGCTGGGCATGGGCTCTGAGGTTTCAAAAACCCATGCCAGGCCCAAGGTCTCCCGCTCTGCCTATAGGTCAGGTGTAGTTCTCAAATACTTCTCCACCATGTCTGCCTGCAGCCTGCCATGCTCTCTGCCATGATGATAATGGACTGAACCTTTCAAACTATAAGCCAGCCCCCAGTTAAATCCTTTCTTTTATAAGAGTTGTCATGGTGTCTCTGCACAGCTTAGGACCGTAACTGACACACATGAGTTCCCTGCCCCCGAATGGCCACACAAGGAAGTCCATCAGGGTCAGTGTGGAAGGCACATAAAGACTGATGAATGCGACTGTGTTCATCATGGTTTAGCCAAAATGTAGGGACAGGCTACATATAAAGCTGGCACTGGGACCTGGAAGCATTACCTACAGGGTACTGGTTTAACATTTGTGCAAAATACAACTGTCAAGTGGGTCACAGAGGCTTGACCACGGTTATAGAAAGCTACCAAGGCCAGGAGATGTGTGGCAGAATCTGGTTCCCTACAAGGAAACCTTGGGAAGCCACCAAGTCAAGCTGGGAACGTGAAGCTTAAGTTGCAATGGAGATCCCAGAGTATTGGAGATGGCAGGGCTCCAGGATATCCGCCAAGGAGAGCGGTGCTTGTGGAGTGGTGCTAGGCCACAGGCGAGGGTGTGTGACAGAAGCAGCAAAGCTGGAGAGACAGGGCTACCCCAGTCCTTTGGAGCACAGACAGATGTGGCAGGATTTGGTATTTACTCTGGTTGAATTTGATTTGCTTTGAGCCGATTTTTTCCTGCTTCCTTCCCATTCCTTGCTTTTGCAATGGCAAGGTTTACTCTGTGCCATCATACATGGCAAGTTTTGACTTGATTTTGCAGGAGCTCTGTCTTGGGGTCTGTTTCTGTGATGAAATACCCTGACAAAAACAAGTTAAGAGAGAACGAGTTTATTTTGGCTCACAGTTCTACTGTCATGGTGAGGAAGACTTACCAGCAGGAATGTCACCAGCCTCGATGGTGCACGGCAGTCTGTTAGCACAGAGTTACATACAAGTAGAAGCAGGCTACAAACTCTCAACCTCAAACCTGCTCTCAGTGACATGCTTCTTCCAGCAAGGCCATGCCTCCTAAAAGTTCCATAACCCTCCCACACAGCACAGCCAGCCCGGGACCAAATATTCAAACACAGGAGCCGATGGGGAGCCTTTCAGGCTCTGTTGGAGACTGGTTCTAAGGCTTTGATTCAGTCCGGAATCTGCGTGCCCAGACACTAGAGGTCCTTGTCCACAATTGTTTTTTGATTGATCAATAAAGATGCCAACAGCTAATGGCTGGGCACAGGGTGGGGCACTTAGAGTTGTGGGTGAGGATGCAGAGAGGAATGGGACAGGGTCGCCATGCCATGACGCAGGAGCGGCAGGAGATAAAGCCAGCCAGCCATGTGAGATTCCGGTAAGTGGGCACTCGCCACTTCCCTGATTGGGCCTGGGGTAGCAGGGGAAGGTTTAGGAGTCCCCAGCCTTTGAGGTAGCCAAGGCATTTTAAAATAAGCTTGTGTGTGTGTGTGTGTGTATGTGTGTGTGTCTTTCTTTCACAGATCCAAAGATAGCTCTGGGGTGGGTGTGTGTGCAATCAGCCGCGAGTCAAAAAGGTGAAGGAAAACTCCTGCAACACACTTAACCCACAGCAGAGACTGCCTTCAGTCATAGAAGACACTTTGGACTTTTGGGACTTTGAAGGCTTAAGGGCCTTTTAGAGATGGACTAAACTGAGTTTCGCAATGTGGGATGAAGGAGACTGAGGGGCCACAGGTGGAATGTTACTATTTAATGTGCTGTAACTGCCGGGCGGAGGTGGCACACGCCTTTAATCCCAGCACTCGGGAGGCAGAGGCAGGCGGATTTCTGAGTTTGAGGCCAGCCTGGTCTACAGAGTGAGTTCCAGGACAACCAGGGCTACACAGAGAAACCCTGTCTTGAAAAACCGAACAAAAAAAGAAAAAAAATGTGCTGTAACTTGGTGTCCTATTGACATCATATTGATGTCAGCTTGACTGGATTCAGAATCACTGTTGCACTAAGTGGACCCAGGGGGACCCCAAAGACAAGGAGAAAGAAGGATTGTAGGAGCCAGAGAGGTCAAGGACACCATGCAAACATGGCCCACAGAATCAACTATGCAGGGCTCACAGGGGCTCACGGAACCTGAAGTGACAAACACGGGCCCTGCATGGGTCTGAGCTAGGTCTTCTGCATATGCCTATGGTTGTGTAGCTTAGTGTTCTTCTTAGTGTTCTTGGAGGACTTCCAACAGTAGGAGTGGGGCTGCCTCTGACTCTTTTGCCTGTGCTTGGGAACCTTTTCCTCCTACTGTGTTGCCACATTCAGCTGTGATATGAGGATATATGCCATTCTTGCTGTATCTTATTAGGCCATGTTCAGTGGATGTTCCTAGGAGGCTTGCCCACCTCCCTTTTTAATAAGAGAAACAAAGGAGTTGATCAGTGAGAGGTGAGGGAGTGGGGAGGGGTTGGGAGGAGTGGAGGGAGAGGAAACTGGTCAGAGTGTAATGTATGAGCAAGGAAGAAAAAAGAAAATCACTGTTACCCGTAGCAAGGCTGTAAGGGTAGAACCATCCCAGCTTTCTGACGTCAGACATGGAGCTATACGATTTGGAGCTTTCTGTTGGGTTTAGGTCTTGCTTTGGTCCAGTATTTCCCATAATGCCCCTTTCCTCCCTTTTGAAATAGTAATGCGTATTCCATGCCATTGCATGTTGGAAATACGAAATTTGCTTTTTGATTTTACAGAGGGTTACACTTAAAAGATTGCCTTGAGTCTCAAAAGAGACTTTAGGCTTTTAAACTGTGTCAAGACTGTGATAGACTACAGGGAATTTTCCAGAACTACATGCATTTTCATTATGATATGGCTACAAGCCTAGGGGACCAGAGAATGCAAAGCGGTGCTTTGAATGAGGATGTTCCCATAGTTTCATATATCTTAATATTTGGTTTCCTCACTGCTAGATGTGATGATGCATGCCTTTAGTCCTAGATTCGGGAGGGAGAGGCAGGTGGGTCTGTATGAGTTGGAGGCCAGCCCGATCTGTTCCAAGACAGCCAGAGGTGTTACAGAGAGAAACCCTATCTCAACAAAAAAAAGAAAGAAAGAAAGAAAGAAAGAAAGAAAGAAAGAAAGAAAGAAAGAAAGAGGGAGGGAGGGAGGGAGGGAGGGAGGAAGGAAGGAAGGAAGGAAGGAAGGAAGGAAGGAAGGAAGGAAGGTAGGTAAGGAAAGAAGAAACGGAAAGAAAAAATTGTTTTCAGTTGATGGAACTGTTTGGGAAGGCTTAAGGAGGTGTGTCCTTGTTGGAGAAGGTATATCAATGGGGAATGGCTTTGAGGTTTCAAAGATTCAAGTTATGTCCAGACCTCTCTCCTCTCTCTCTTTCTCGTTTCTGTCTCTCCCTCCCTCTCCCCCCCTCTGTGCGTGTGTGTGTGTGTGTGTGTGTGTGCGCGCGCGCGCGCGCATGTGTGCGCGTTAAAAGGTAGGAAAGTGGATGACAAGATGTGCACACAGTAAACTCAGTTAGATGGAGATAAAACCATGAAAGGGGAGCAGGAGACGTGGCTTGAAGGTAGACTGTCAGCCTAACATCCACCGGCGACCGTGGCTTAACCTTGAGCACGTCACCAGCATGCACAAGACCCAATAACTGATCCTCCAAGAGGAGGAAGAACTGGGCTTATGTTCAACTTTAGAGCACGTACAAGAACGAAGACGAAGGGGGCGAAAAAGAGTTCACCTTCCCTGAGGGTAGAAACCTGGACTAGTAAGTTACCAGCTTTGATTCCGCACAGTAGGTGTTCAACTGACAAGTCGAGTGTTCTACTGTTCTTATATGTCCCACAGGATCTTCTAAAACGATTTTGCTTACAAAGTGCTCTGTAGCTCTCTGTGCAGCTTCGGAGCCTTTGCACACCCTGTATCTGACACTGGGTATACGCCATCCTTGTGTCTGTAGAGATAGGACAGAGCCTGGTACCAGACAGGGGCGCTTAAATATTGGAAGACTGAATGAATGCGAGATAGCCTTTGTCTATTGTGTAGAGTGGAAGAAGCAGAGACACGCGCGACCCTCCCTATTCACTGTGGTCCACCCCCTGGAATCAAAGCATCTTTCTGGAAGGGAAGCGGGGCTTGGGGCTGCCCTCCGGCCTCTCGCTGACCTCTCAAAAAGCGCGCTTTCCTGGATACAGAGCTCAGTCCTCCAAACGCCATCATCTGACTCTCACTGCCAGCTCCCCGCCCCGTCCACCCGTCCCCCACCCGTGCAGCCCCATAATGGTTCAGCCCTCCGCTATTTAGAGCGAGTAAGGTTGGACCACTGCTCGCACGATGGGGGGAGTCCGAGACGCGGCGGAGGGATCCCTCCGGAGCGTTCCGACCGGAGGCGCCCATTGGCCGCGAGTGTGCACGGCCTCCGCTGATTAGTCCGCTCGGCACGCCGGCCCCGCCCAAGTCCCGGAGGCCCGGGGAGAAGCCGGGCGGAATTTCGAGAGGACCGAGCAGGGAGCGCGGGGTGGCGGCGGCGCAGGTGAGTGTCCCCCGCCCGGGGGGCGGCCTCCGGGGCGTGGAGCCGTGGCGGTGGGGTGGAGCTGGCCGCGTCGGGACCCCAAACACGGACCCCTCCCCGCTGGCCGGGCCTCCGGTCCGCCCCTGCTCTCTGCTCCCAGGATGCTCCCTGTTGGTGGTGGGTCAGCGTTCCCGACCCCTCCCAGGCCTCTTCCCAAAGCTGGCCGCGGGGACACCGAGACCACCCAGGTCCAGATAACAGCAACTACCGCAGTACTAGTTTGATGACTCCCCCTCGCTAGCCCGGATCAGCGTTTCCTCGTCCCGGCGCTTATGGTGCACAGCGTTGAATCAAAACACCCTCCTGGGAGAGGTTGTTAACTTGTTTTAGAAGTGAGGCACCAGTGCCAGAGAGGTGGAGTAACTTACTCAAGGTCACACAGCTAGTAAGTGGCCCATGGGGCTTAGGGAGCCTTACCCTTTGAGTCCAGAAACTAATCTCAGAGATCAGGTGTCCCTAACCAGCTCCTAGACTCATCGCCCACCGCCGCCCCCATAGTCACTCCGGAGCCGCACCTGCTGGGCTTTGCTTTCCTCCCCGCGCCCACGGGTCACTAGACAGCTTCCAAGTTGCCCTCCTGTCCCTTCTCTGAGCTGGAGAGGCAAGGCCCAAATGCCGTGGGTCGCTTAACCCCATTTCCTTTCCACCCACCCTGGCCTCTCTTTACTGTAAGAGGGATGACTGGAAGTTAGAGGCTTGGTGTCTGGGGAGCCGGGCTACGGCGGCCAAGACCAGTCAGACTGTGCATTCACGCCCCTCAGCCCCCGCCCCGGAAACGCTGGAGAGATGAAACCTTCAGGATCCGGTTTTTCAAGAATGAATCAGAGGCCTCCCGCCCTCCCCCTGAAGCAGTCCTGTGCTGGGGGTTAGGAGGGAGGGACGGCCGGGGAGCAGGTGTGGTGTCCCCTAAGCCTCCGCGTTATCTGAGGCCCTGGACAACCCCCTTCCCTTGCTTCCTGCTCCCCCCACTTGGCTTTTCTGTGTCTGCGGGGTTGCTGAGTTTCAGGCCCTTTTTGGGATGAGAGTGCTGGACTGGACTCCGGAAATCCATCCAACCCACTTCCTTCAGCTCCTTGCAGACAGACTGGAGGGGTGCTCACACTTAGCTGCCTAGCTGTCATGTTGTGGGGTTTGAGCTACAGGCAGTCGGAGAGATAAGACAGTCATTCTACAATTCAGCTCTCGTGGAACCCGAGGTTTCACACTTGCTAGGCAGATAGATGCCCTGTGTCTGAACTACACACCCATCACCTACAAATACTGAGCAGCCACCGTGCCTGGCCGCATGTTTTGCTTAGAGGACTCCAAACACAGGACAGAATTTCCTGCAGTCTAGTTGGGGAACAGGCAACCACTTAACGGGCAGCCATTGCAGAGCCTTGTTAAGTACTAAGTGGTCTCAGCATCACTGGGCACCCGGGTCCTGGAACAGTATAGCGTTTGCAGTGCGGCCAGAGTAAAGTGTCTAATAGTTGACGTCAGTAATAAAGCAAGAGGGGTGATTCACAGGCGTTTGCTGTGCCTGGTACACAGGACACATCTTTTCTTTTTCCTTTTTCTTTTCTTTCTTTTTTTTTTTTCTTTTTTGAGTTTTCCTCTATACTGTGGGGTCCCTTTGTCAGGTCGGATACATATGAATGTTACCATCCGGTTTGCGTTCTAAACTAGAGATGCAGGTGCTGGAGGGCACTTGCTGGAGTTTGATGCCCAGCACCCACATGGTCTAGGCACACAAGCGGTGCCCAGACACACATGCAACCTCATTCACATTAAAAACAAAAAAACCTTAAAAACTAGAGACATAGAGATAAGTAACAGCCGGGAGGTTGGAAGATGAGATCTGTTGTCAGGGTAGCGTGTAAGTTCATGAGCCTAAGTCCTGTAGACTGTGGGAGCTTCTCTAGTGGGCTGGGGCAAGCAGGCTGCCTGGAGAATTCTGGAATAGGCCTTGCCAGGCATAGGAACCGGGGTGCTCCAAGGCCAGGGAAGGGAGGGTATAAGGCTCTGGAGGTGTGGCTCAGTGGTGCAGCCCCTGCCCAAAATCAGTGAGGGGTGGGAGAGGGGTGTGGCTCAGCAGTAAAGTGCCTTCCTTGCAGATAAAAGGCACTAGTTTCTGTTTCCATCACTTGCAAATAGTAACATGTCCTGGAGTGGTGAGCTAAAGTCCTGAAGGGCTCACATGCCGCCTAGTCTTTGGAGTCCCAGAAGCACCCCGAGAAATGTGAATTCTGCCAAGTTTTCAGATGTGGAAACTGGAGCTCGTGAAGTTAGGCACTGTTTCGTGGCAAGGGCGGGGCTTGCATCCAGGCCACCGCAACACACCTCGGGGTCCTCAGTTCTAATTTATGAGCCACTCATTTTCCTCAGAAGAAAACCATGCAGGGGCCATGTAGACCGAGGAGGTAGCTCACTTGGTAAAGTGCTTGCTGGGCCAGCTGAATTTGACAATCAGAACCCACGTGGAAGTGCCAGGCATGGTGGCTTGCTGTTGTTACCCCAGCACTGGGTACATAAACAGGAAAGCCTGTGGGGCTCACTGGCCAGCTGGCCTAAGTGGAGAGCTTGGTCCCAGGAGAGACCCTGTCTCAAAAAGACAAAGTAGGGTGGGGATATGGCATATACCTTACGGGTAGAGCTCTTGTGGGCACACTGCAGAGATAGCTCAGCAAAATAAAGGCACCTGCTGCCAAGTCTGGGGCCTGAGTTTGATCCTTGGGACCCACATGGTGGAAGGAGAGAGCTGATTCCCACAATCTCTGCACGCATAGTGTGGCAACACACACGCACACAGATGTGATTCTGTTTCGGGAGGGGTTATGTTTGTTTTATTTTCTGAGACAGGGTCTCACTACATAGTTCTGTTTGTCCAAGAACTTGCTGTGTTAACCACCCTAGCTTCAGAGTGATATTTTTTTTTAATGTGTATGGATGTGTCACCCACATGCATGCCTGTGCACATAAGAAGGCGTCAGATCCTCCCTGAATCTGGGGTTAGAAGCAGTTATGAGCTGCCATGTAGATGCTGAGATTCGTACTCAGGTCCTTTGGGAGAGTAAGCCGTGCTCTTAACCACTGAGCTGTCTGTCCAGCTTCAGTAAAATTTTTAAGCAAAGTAATGACTCTTGGAGGTCAATACCCAAGGTTGACCTCTAACCTCTGTATGTACCTACACGTCCATGAATGAGCACTGTAGGGGCTGCAGACATGGCTCAACAGTTAAGAGTGCTCGCTGCTCTTCTGGGGGACCTGAATTGGGTTCCCAGCGCCCATGGTGGGCAGTTTCAACTGCTTATAACTCCATAGTTAGGGAGTGTAGATACAGATCTCTGGCCTTTGCAGGCACCTACAGTCAGGTGCACATACCCACACACAGACTCATACACATAATACAAAATAGAGTTTAGAAGGTGAGGTGGCACAGTGGGTAGAGGCAGTTGCCGCCAAACTTGATGGCCTGAGTTGGACCTCCAGGACCCACATGCTGGAGGGAAAGCAGTAAGGCAGCTAATTTGTTCTCTGACTGACAGATACTCTGAGGCATGCCCACACATACATCGAATGGATAAATGTAGACAAAGTACTGAAGTTGATGAAAAAGAGAACAGGTGGTGATGTCCTGGTCTACAGATTGAGTCCCAGAACAGAGAAACCCTGTCTCAAAAACCTAAAACAAAACAAACAACAAAAAGAGTTAACAGACAATTCACTAAAAGGCCAATCAAGAGCATTAAAAATGTATAAAAAGGCTTTGTGCACCATTGATTTATCCCAGAGTGCAAAAGCAAACAGACAGAGAAGTCGGGCAGCGCCCCCTGCTGGGTACTGTGCTGGGAGCCTGTGATCTGGGGAGATGGCCAGTCCTGCCTTTCCTTCCTCAGCCACACAGGGCAGCCCCTCATCCAACAGTGATATGTCAGCCAGTGTTCCACAAACTGAGGGGTAGACATTAGTGACACAGATCTCTCCCTCACCAGTGGGCAAAGACATAAAATGTCTCCCAGCCAAAGGGTCAGGAAGGGCCTGGACAGCAGAGGGAACAGCCACTACAAAGACCGTGGGGCAGCCAGCTCTGGCCTATCTGAGCGGCATGGAAGAAGCCCCAGTGGCTGAAGGGAGGGAGCTAAGGAAGAGCAGGCCCTGTGGGCATAAAGGCCTCGGAGATCTGAGCAGAGAAGGAAGTGACTGTGTTTATAGGGTCATTCTGGCTGCTGTTTTGACAGGAACCTGGAGGGTAAAAGGAAGCCTGAAGACCCAGAGGCCACTTAGTGTCCCTGAGTGGGGTGGAAGTAGAGCTCCAGAGTCAGAAGAATGCATGGCTTGAACTGGGAACCCTCTCAGGAAGTTGTGATCCAGCCAACTGGTGCCCTTCTACCTGGGACAACCCCTCAAGAGAGGCTCTGCAGAGCACAGGAAGTTCCTAGTACACAGGACAAGGAGTTTGGTATGGACACTGAGGAAGGGGATCAGGAGTTCAAGGCCAGCCTGTGCTACTTAGTGTGACCCTGCCTCAAAATAATAGAGAGGAATTTAGCCAGGTGTGGTGTTATACACCTGTGTTCCCTGCACTCAGGAGGAGGAGGCCGGGAGACCACAAGTTCAAGGTCAGCCTTGGCTATAGCAAGTTTGAGGCCAGCCTGCCCTACATAGTGAGGGAGAGGGGAGAGAAGAAGGTGAAATGTCACTGAGGATAGGCCAAGAAAGGGCAAGGCCAAGGAAGTTCCTCAGGGGATTGCAAATGAGACACCCTTGAGGGAGCTTGTGGCTGTTTTTCCTCCCTTTGGACTAGTGACTTGAAAATGAAATCAGGGTCTGGGTGTGGCCCATGATTGTTTACCTAGTGTTCAGGAGGCCTAGCCCCATCCCGGCACTACTAGAATAAGAAAAATGCCACCTTCTCTCACCCCCCTTTTCCCCTCCCTCCCTCCCCTCCAGCCACACCTTTCAGAGATGTGCTGAATGTGAAGTACTTTATTACAGGGCCTTTGCTCTGTTCCCCATCTACCTAGAACATTCTTATGCTGGAGGGCTGATGTGTGGGAGGCCACGGAGGGGAGGTTCTAGGGAGGGGACCAGGGCTTCTCTGACACCAAGCTTCCACTGTCACCGGGCCACACATTTCAAGATGCGGAAGTGTATGGCCAGCGTCCCCTGGTTTATTGTAGCTCTTGTAAATAAATCAGGAAAATGGCTTTCTTCCCAGAGGTTGGCCAAAGTAGGGAGACGTCTCAGCAGGCAGCTGTGGGCTGAAGCTCACCCCTCTTGCCACCTTAGTACATCCTGTGTCTGCAGTGTCTGCAGTACACAGATGGTACAGCTGACATGATACTCCTAGTCAGGGCATGGTGGCACATGCTGAAAGTCAAAGATACTTGGTGGCTGAGGCAGGAGGATCATTGGACCAGAAATTTAAGACTAATCTAGATACTATAGCAAGACCCTGTCTAAAAAAATATAAAGTGAAGCTGGGGAGGAGGGATTAAATATACACTTAATCCCAGCACTCAGGAGGCAGAGGCAGGTAAATCTCTGTGAGTCTGAGGCCAGCCTGGTCTACAGAGTGAGTTCAGGACAACTAGGGCTGCACAGAAAAACCCTGTCTTTAAATGATAATTAATTAATGATAGATCAATAAGTGCATGACTATAATAAGTACTGCCCCTGGTGCTCCACGGTGCAGGGGCAGCAGCCGAACGCTTACATTTTATTTGGAGCCCTCAAACAGAGACAGACAGACAGACTGAGTAGGCCTGGAGTGGGCTTTGACACCTCTAATGACACGTTTCTGCAGACAGTCTGCTAAGTAAGAACCAGGCGTTCACATATATGAGCCTATGGAGCAGACAAATATGTTTGTTTGCTAGACAGAGGGAGAGAAAGAAGGAATAAAAGGAGAGGACTGGAGAAGCGGCTCAGAGACAAGCCCTGCTGCTCAGGGGTGAGGACCAGAGCTGAGCCCACCACCAGCAGTGCGGGGTGGCCTGGCTGCCACACTAGCCAAGGGCAGGGGTTGGGGTCAGGATCACTGAGAGGCCCTGCCTCAAAAGACTAAGGTGGAGGGTGATTGGGGACACCATGTGCTTCGTTTGGCCTCTGAGCACAGGAGCGAATGCGTGCGCGCGCACACACACACAGTGGGCATATGCCCCCCCCACTCATACTAAAATAAATAAATAAATAAATATGTTGGCCCACACTTTTTTGGTTGGTGCTGGAGGCTGGAGATAGGATTTCTCTATGTAGCTCTTGCTGGCTTGGAACTATCTAAGGCCTGGTAGGCCGTGAAGTCACAGAGCTCCCCTGCCTCTACCTTCCAAGTACTGAGACTTGCCATGGCAAGTGGCAAGCATGTGCTGGAGCAGTAGCTGAGAGCTTACATTTTATTCGGAGCCATCAAGCCCACCCTGTAATGAGATGTTTCTCCAGACAGTGTTAAGTAGGAACCAGGCGTTCACATACGTGAGCCTATGGGGCATTCTCTGTCAGACCACCACAGATGCAGTTACTAAAGACCCATGCAGCCCGATAGTGTTACAACAGGTCAGCCATTGCTGACCACTCTGTCGAGGGGCAATACTGCTCTGAAGGATTTTACCCCAGCAATGAAATGTTTCTATGAGGATTCGTCATGTGCCTCTTCCTGCTAGAACTCATTGGCAAAACTAGTCGTCTGCCAGCCCTGTCCCAAGGGGCATGGTAGGGATCACGCACTTTGCTTTGAGGGAGAGACTCAAAAGGGTTTTGTTTCCTCTGTGTGTCACATGTGTGCATTCCTGTGTGTGTGTGTGTGTGTGTGTGTGTGTGTGTGTGTGACTGACATGTGTGCAGGTGCAGATCTGTATGGAAGCTGAGGACAACCTTGGGTGTCACTCTCAGGAGCTGTCCACTTTGGGGTGTTCTTTTATTATTCCATTTGTTTATTTTGTGTGCATATGCATATGTGTTTGTGTGTAGGTACACATAGCCCAGTGCACACATAAAGGTCAGATTACAGCTGTAGGCTTTCTCCTTCCATGGGGGCTCATCTGCTCAAACTCAGGCCTACAGGGGTGATGGCAAATTACTTTTACCCACAAAGCTCTCTCGCTCTTTTTTTTTTTTTTTGGTTTTTCGGGACAAGGTTTCTCTGTGTAGCCCTGGCTGTCCTGGAACTCACTCTGTAGATCAGGCTGGCCTCGAACTCTCAAACTCAGAAATCCACCTGCCTCTGCCTCCCAAGTGCTGGGATTAAAGGCGTGCGCCACCACTTTTTGTTACTCTTTAAACAATACAGTGGAGCACGTGTTTTCATAGCTTTTAGTGTGTAAGCTGATTCCAGTGTATGGGAGGAGCTGCAGCTCTGTGAACCAGCGCCAGCCAAGCAGGGCCGGTAAAAGCCTCAGCAGAATGCAAGTACAACACAAGTGTACACGGCTGGCAATGTTCTGGAGGTATCCTGGCACCCTGTGCCTAGGAGCCTGAGTCACACCATCGGCTGCGGTTATGCTCAGTGGTGGAGGCTGCACCAGACCCCTGGGTTCCGAACCCTGCTCTGCTACAGAACCGTGTTGGTTGGTATCATGTAGTGGTGACGGGTGGCACCCAAGTCTGGTACTCAGAGAATGAAGCCCGATTCCCGTTCTGCAGGTCTCCTGGCCGACTCCCCACTTCTGGCTGCTCATGCCACTGGGACTGGGGCGAAGGAAAAAGGCACCACCTCTGGTGGAAAATGAGGAGGCGGAGCCAAGCCGAAGTGGGCTGGGCGTTGGGGAGCCTGGGCCCCTGGGTGGAAGCGGAGCAGGGGAATCCCAGATGGGCTTGCCCCCGCCTCCTGCTGCCCTCCGGCCTCGACTCGTATTCCATACCCAGCTGGCCCACGGCAGCCCCACAGGCCGCATCGAGGGCTTCACTAATGTCAAGGAGCTGTACGGCAAGATCGCTGAGGCCTTCCGACTACCAGCTGCTGAGGTACCAGTGGGACCAAGGTCCCTTAAGAGCAAGCCACAGACCTGGGCATGTGTTCTTGTGAGCTGGGGCTAGTGTTCCTCGCCGGCCAGCAGCCCCTGAATCTAGGAGGCGTGGCTACAGGAGAATATTGAATTCCTATCAGGCCTTGAGAGACTTGTACCCTACCTGGTAGGTATGGGGAGTTTCCCAACAGCCCTTCGGAGGCTCTTTAATCTAGTAAGGTTGTGGACCTGCAGGTACTGATTAACCGTCAGGTCTGAAGTAGCCTGTGTCCTGCTAGGTTGTGGAGGATTGACAGCCACAGGGTTTCCATAAGGCATTGGGAGGCTTGTGCCCCCAAACCCTGTGGGAGCTGGAGATCAGGAGCAGCTTCTAGTTCTCCATGATGCCCTGGAGGCATGACTTCAAGCTAGAAGCTGAGAATCCGCAGGGAGGGCAACAGTGGGGCTGAGATTCAGGTGGGAGCTGGGCGGGAGTCAGACTTCATCCACTCCCCAGTAGGTATTGAGTGCCCACTGGAGATCAAGGTTTCCAGGACAGAAATCCTGCTCGTAGCATTTGATGTTCCAGTGGATTTCTCTTTGGCTTTGGGTGTCACCTAGGATAGGGGTGTGTTGGGAGAGGGGGTCCGGGGAGGAAGGAACGAGCATCTTGCCCACCTCTGCAGGTGATGTTCTGCACCCTCAACACCCATAAAGTGGATATGGACAAGCTCCTGGGGGGCCAGATCGGGCTGGAGGACTTCATCTTTGCCCATGTCAAGGGGCAGCGCAAAGAGGTGGAAGTATTCAAGTCTGAGGAGGCTCTGGGGCTTACCATCACTGACAACGGGGCCGGCTATGCCTTCATTAAGGTGCCCGGGTGGGTGGCACACCCTTAGTCAGTGGTCAGGGTCTGTAATGGGACCTAGAGTGGAGCTTCCAGGGTTGATGCCTGCCCCTCCACAGCGCATCAAGGAAGGCAGTGTGATTGACCATATCCAGCTCATCAGCGTGGGTGACATGATTGAAGCCATCAACGGGCAGAGCCTGCTGGGCTGTCGGCATTACGAGGTTGCCAGGCTCCTCAAGGAGCTGCCCCGAGGCCGCACCTTCACCCTCAAACTCACAGAGCCTCGAAAGGCCTTTGGTGAGCCATCCTTGCACCCTGGACCACCCACTGGGATGACCTTGAGCTCTTACGAAATACAAATTGCAGTCCTGGGAACCACCAGCAGGTGGCACCCAAACCCTCAATGCAAAGTGGGGACAGCCCCACCCTACCCTAGAACTGAGTGCTGGCTGACAGCCCAGCCTGAAGGAAGTTGCCCCCACACCCGACTTCCAGGAGCCATTAGCCCAGGCAAGTGCCCCCAACCCTGGCCAGCCCCCTCAGCCTGGAGAAGTGAGGCTTGGCTGCCTTGTACAGCTCCCATGCCCTGCCCCCATTTCTACCTGGCTTCACTAACTCTCAGGAATGGGCCTGAGGCGCCCCTGGTGTGGGTAGAAAGAGCTTATCTGGGACTCAGCAGTTGTACTCACCCTTCTCAACCCTCAGCCCTTCAAACAGAAGCTACCCTCCATTCTCCAGCTGCTTTTCTGCCTATCGCCAGCTGCCCCTCAAACTCCATGCAAAATCCTGCCTTCCTGGAACCTAGCCCCTAGCCCAAGGAGCCTTCAGACTTGGAGGTGGTGAGAGGCGGCTGTGTAAAGCCTAGGTACCTGAGTACTGTGCTTACTGTGTGCTGACACTCCCCGCTACCTTTACCTCCCACAGATATGATCAGCCAGCGCTCGGCAGGTGGCCACCCTGGTTCAGGCCCACAGCTGGGCACTGGCCGAGGGACCCTCCGGCTCCGATCCCGGGGCCCTGCCACAGTGGAGGAGCTGGTGAGTGGACCACCCTGGGCCAGTGACTACTTTCTAATTATGTGAAAGACTCTGGACACCTGCTTAAACCTACTCTTCCCAGCTTTGGGGCCTACTGTGGTCCATCCATCAAGCCTTGCGTCTCCTCCCTGTAGGGTAGGAGTCAGAGTGGACGTTAGTGATGCAGACAAAAAGTGTTGCCAGGCATGGAGTTTCACGCAGGACGATTTCACATTCAAGGGCAGCTCAAACCATAAGACCTTTATGAAAATATACGAAAGCCAGCCCAGTGTGGATACATACCTGGAACCCTAGCTACCTGGGAAGCTAAGATTTAGTGTTCAGGGTCAGTTTGGTCAACTTAGAATATGCCTCAGTATGAGAATAATCCTTTCTGGATATTGAGACTAAAGAGATGACTTAGCACTTTAGAGCACATGTGACTCTTGCAGACCACCCAGGTTCAGTTCCAAGTACCCATGATGGGTGGCTCCCAGTCGTCTGTTAAGTCCAGTTCCAGAGATCCAGTGTTCTCCTCTGACCTCCACAGGTACCAGGCAGACACTTCATACACATACATATGTGCAGACAAAACCCTCTACATTAAATAAATAACAACACCAGTAGCTGGGGAGGCAGCTCGTTCAGAGCTGTGGCCTAGCGTGAGTCCCTCGTGCCGTCCCCAGCACTGCAGGCTTTCAGTATCGCAGCGCTGACACCGTTGACATTACTGTTCTGTCTCGTTCCCCCCTCCACAGCCGTCGGCTTTTGAGGAAAAGGCCATTGAGAAGGTGGATGACTTGCTAGAGAGCTACATGGGGATCAGAGACACAGAGCTGGGTGAGTGGGGCACCTGTGTCTGCAAGGTGGGAGCAGGCTAGAGTTGAGCCTACACCTCTGCCCCCCCCCCATGCCATCTACACCTCCATCTTTTCTCCTCCCTGACAGCTGCCACCATGGTGGAGCTGGGAAAAGACAAAAGGAACCCAGACGAACTGGCAGAAGCTCTGGATGAACGGCTCGGTGACTTTGCATTCCCAGATGAATTCGTCTTTGATGTCTGGGGAGCCATCGGGGATGCCAAGGTTGGCCGCTACTAAGACTGGAACTGAACCTGGACCTTGAGATAACCTGGCTTGGCCTGGCTGGGAATTCCAGAAGGGGTGCCACAGCCAAGACCTGGGCATACAGCTTAGGCTCAACAGCCTGGGAACGGCCTGGGGTGCACGTGCCCTGCCGTCCTGGCCCCGTTCTAATCAGTACCACCACGGTGCCCAGCCTGGTTGGGGTTCCCGGCCAACCCCTGCCGGGTTCCCCACCTACCTCAATAGAGTAAGCGCATGGGGAGGGACCAACACACTGGGCAGCCACCTCTGTCCCCAACACTTCCCACCATCAGCTGGCAACTGCCCCTTCTGTCCCCTCAGCTTCTGTTCTTTTTGGGATTATGACCTCCCTACATTACTTTTTTTTTGCTTTGTTTTTTTTGTTTGTTTGTTTTTTGTTTTTTGTTTTTTTTTTCCCAAGACAGATTCACTATGTAGCTCTGGCTGTCCTGGAACTCATTCTGTAGACCAGGCTGGCCTTGAACTCACAGAAATCCACATGCATCTGCATTCACAGTGCTGGGATTAAAGGTGTGGGTCACCACTCCCGGCTCTTCCTGCTTTCTTGACACCAGCAATGCAGAAAGGCAACAGTGCCTTCCCTAAAGCATCTCCCACCTGAGGAGCCCCCTCGGTTGGGTTCTGTTACCTCCCATTTGAGTGGACACTGCTGTGAACCCTGGTTCCTTGTCTTCTCCTTTACACAGTGAAGCAGGAGGGATGAGGGAGGCCATGGGCTTTTGTATCCACACACACTCTCTTGGATATAGAAATTTTACTCTGGGAGCTGTTTGGCTCTGGAGCAGGAAGGGTGGCCAGGGAAAGAATGCAGCAGCTGAAATCTATCTCCTGGATTCCAAATTGAATTAGGAGTTGGCTGGCCCACTGCCCCTCCCTCTGGCTGGGGGCCGTCAAGTTTCCAGACAGTGCTGGAGTTTCTGGTTCAGACCTGGTCCCCACTCACCAACGCCTCTCTTGTGTGAGAACCCCTCTGCGTAGCAGCGAGGCCTGGTGCCCAGGTACAGCACCCAGGTTGTGCCTGGTTGTACTCGGGGCACAGGCATCCATGGCACAGTGCTGCACAGATAGAAACCTGACAAGCTTGTTTTGACAGTCCATTCTATCCTAGGATTTAGGGAGATCAAGGGAAGGGTGGGGTGGGACCCTGGCCAGCCTTGGGGAGAAGGGAGGCAGTTGGAACAAGGGGAGCTAGGCCAGAGGTCCCTCTCCAGCACCCAGTAGGAATGCTGCAGGAAGGCTGAGTGGGGCTGGCTCCCTGGAACCAGGCAGGAGATGAGTATCCTGGATACAGGACATGGGCCTTCCAGAGGGCTACTTGCCAAGGGTCACTTAGCATCCCTGATCACAGGCCGGATTTCAGTGCTGATAGAGGAACCCATGGCTTCTATATGCCCAGGATTAGCTCTATCCTATAGTTGCATGTCTGCTGGGAACAGCTGGGATTGTGTGGCTTTTCTGTGTGGAACCATGTGTAGTGGATGGGTGGGAGCCAAATTGAACCAGAGCTGTGACTATCATGGGTAAGCCTTAGGTCCTCTGAGTTTCAGGGAGCTGTGTTGAGTGTGTGCACAGGTCTCAGGTGTATTCTTGTTTGGGCGGGTCAGGATAACAGCTAGGCCTTAGAGATGTGACTGTGTCTGAGGACAAGTCCTCGGGGTCCATGAGCGTTGGTTTGAGGGGGGCTACAGCAGGAGGTGTGTCCTGGGGCTGGGAACAGACTTACAATGCTGGTGAGATTTACACCCAGTGCTGAGGTATGGGCAAGCATCAGTTTCAAGGGGTCCATATCAGGAGAATAGATGTTACAATGATCAATGGTGAGTGCTCTCCAGTGTTTACTTCCCATTGTGACTGATCTGACAGGGCTGCATGTGCCCCTTTTCAAAATATCAGGTGAGGCATAGTTCTGGGAGCAGGATTAGAAAGACTCGGGTGCCCTATGAATGGCCTCCTGTACCCTCAGGCCAGATGCAGGTGACAGCCTGGCTCCCCTGAACCATTTAGGCCCCTCCCTTTCTCCTAGAGTGACTCTCTGTTGCTCTGGTCTAGGCTGCCCACCTCTGCCCAACTGTGACAACCATAATGCGACGGTAGGAGGGACTGCTAGCTCCCATCACACCCAGGCAACTCTCAAGCCCGATGAGGACAGCACCCCCACACACACTCACCGCACCCCACCCCCACGGGAGCTCATAGCCCTCCCAGCTCGCCCCAGGCGATGCTCACATTTTCCAGTGTTTAGATTTTATCCGCTTTATTAATGAGGCGGGCAAGAGGCCCGGGTGAGGGTGTGGGGCTTTGCTCCTGCCCCGCTGAGAGGAGGGGGTCACAGAAACCAAACCAATTCAGAGAACCTCAGTCCTTGGCGGGAAGGAGCTGGGCCCAGTTGCCCTGACCATTGCCAGCAGTGGAGGTTTTGCCCACTCAAGGCTCCCAGCCCCAGAGGGCAGACATGTGTGGGGTGGAGCAGCCCCTGGAGGCCAGTGGTGTGCGGGTGGAGGCGGCACGGAGCCGAGGAGCCGCCCCAGGAAGAGGGAGCGGCCTGCCGGGAGCCAGGGAGTAGCTGGAGCGGGCAGCAGGAGCCAAGTTCCAGGCCATGGGGACCCTGCATTCTGAGCAGCGCTGGGTAAGAAGCTGGGATATGACGGATGACAAGCCAGAGAAGGCTAGCTATAGCCATCCTGCTCTCTCGCTGGTTTATGTCTCTCAGCCCCAGGCTGTCCATCTCTCAACTAGAGAATGAAGGACAAGTCAGAGGCTGGTTCAGATAGGGGCACGGGATGGGCATCTGAATGAGGCAATGACAGACTAGCGAGAGATCGCTATGGAGACAGAGGGCACCAGAGATGGTATTCTGGAAAAGAGGTGGGCCCATGGGGTCTGAGAGCACCATAGAGATCAGAGATGGGTTTGTGGCAGCAGGGGTCTGTGGGGACAGAGAGGACCACGGAGACAAGAGATGTGGCATAGAGGCCTTGGGGCACAGGAGTGGGTCTATAGGTGTAGAGATGGGTTGTCTGAGGGAAGAGATGAAACTGCAGGTTGAGTCAGTCCCTGGAGACAGGCACACGGCCATTGGAAGAGATGAACTATAGTAGTAGAGGTGTTGGGACATGGATATCAAGGACAGAGTTAAAAGGTGACCAAAGCTGGTCATGGTGGTGTGAGCCTTTAATCCCAGGAGGCACAGGCAGGCGGATCTTTTGAGTTTAAGGTTAGCCTAGCCAGTTCCAGGGCAAGTCAAGGAGATTTCTGAAAAGGGAGAGGTGGGCAGACAGACAAAGGTTGAAATTGGGATTAGAAGTGGGTGAGGGTCTATCCCATGGAGCCATAGACCAGGAAACTGATGAGGTGGGAACCAGGAGGTGGGGGTGGGGTGGAGATGAGGACAGATACTGGGGACCTGTGCCAGGTCAGTCAAAATCCCCAGCAGATGTGAGGGCAGAGTGAAGCCAGGCAGTCACAAGAGATGGGGGCAGTGACAGGTGAAGTAGGGTCCGAGATGGAGTAGCCAGGGTCATGTGGCAGTGCCCTGGGCACGGAAGATTGGGACCCTAGTCTCATTGAGCCCACTTCTTATCTACCCGCAGCCCTCTTGGCCACTGATATGAGCCCCTACGGGCTTAACCTGAGCCTAGTGGATGAGGCGACAACGTGTGCAACGTCCAGGGTCCCCAATACATCTGTGGTGCTGCCAACAGGCGATAATGGCACATCACCAGCACTGCCAATCTTCTCCATGACGCTGGGTGCTGTGTCCAACGTGCTGGCGC